TTTTTGTTTTTTTTTTTGGTGTAACCGGGGATTGAACTCAGGCCCTTGTGCTTGCCAGGCAAGCGCTTATTCTACTGAGCCATCTCCCAGCCCCTCAGCTGGGTTTTTTTGTTGTTTGTTGTTTTGCCTTTTTGTAACAAGGTCTTGCTACACACTTCAGGCTGGCCTTGAGCCCCCTTCATAGCTCCCTTGCCTCCAGCTCATGGTGACTCCCCACCTCAGCCTCAGTAGTGCCCCCTTCTCTCATTCCTGCCACACACTTGGCCTTACCCAGACAGGACCATTTTCCTGGATATCTGCTGTCCCTGCCATGAGACCTGGCACTGCTTTATCATTTTTCACCCACACACAGACCTGTCACACATTTGAGTTTATTCTTGCCTGGTTACAGGGCCAGTGTTATTCCCAACCTGTAAATCTAGAATCATGACAGCGCTCTGAGGCCTGGGAACTCAGCCTCAGCCCCTACCCCTTAAGGCATTCTGTGGGCTGGCCGGATGGTCAGAGCTTCCAGGTTCCCTCACACACAGCCTGATAGGTGTCTGCTGTCAGGGGCTGGAAGGTCTGGGCCTGGTGGTCCAGGATGAACAGGGGCTCGGCGATGACCCCCACGTCGAAGCCCTCTTGCACCAAGTGGGTCTTGACTGGCTTGAATGTGCTTGTGATCTCCAGGGTGTCCTATAGGGCAGTGGCCATGACCTGAGGCTGTAGACCACAGCCAGGAACCCTGCCCCAACTGCTGCTCCTGCCCTGACTCACCTGGACACGGATGAAATGGGGGGCTGCATATGTGGGCAGCCATGCACGTACATGCTGGTACAGTCTCTTCCCATCAAATGTCTGGCCAGGGGCCAGCCTCACAGCAGCCATGCCAACTTTGCCCTCGCACCCTGGGAAGCACACAGGTCACTTGGATGACCCATCTATCTCTGCCCCAGCAGGTCCCCTGTCTGTAAAATCAAAATAGCACCCCTCCACCCCAAAGTTATCTGAGGTTTGTTTAGTTGGGTTTGTTTTTTTTTCAGTGCTGGGAATTAAATAAGGACCTTCAAGAGCTATACACAGGGGAAATAGCTCAGCAGAGTAGGCACTTGCCTGGCAAGTGCAAGGGCCTGAGTTCAATCCCTGGTTCCTCAAAAAAAAAAAAAGCTACGTTGCCTGCCCTTGTATCCTGAGACAGGGTCTCACTAAGTTGCTAAGTTGCCCAAACTCAGTGGGACCTCAAGTTCTCCTGACTAAGCCTCCTGGTGTTGGGGTTCAGGCATGCACAACCACACTTGGCTCCTTTCAAGGTTTAAGGTCAGGTGGTCCCTCCATACCTGGTACTGACACACCATAGACATTCACTTCCTGCAGGGAATCCACCAGTGACAACACGCCCTCCACCTCGCGTGTGGACACGTTCTCACCTTTCCATCTGTGGGGTTGGAGCCAGGGCTTGAACCCCATCTCATTGGAGGATCCAGTGCCCATCACCCACACCAGCCCAGCCTGTCCCCAGGTCTAACCCCACCAGACCGAAAGGTGTCCCCAAGGCGGTCATGGAAGTAGAAAAAGCCTTCTTGATCCATGGACAGGACATCCCCAGTGTTGTAGTAAACATCTCCAGGACGCTGCACAGCCTGTACCAGTTTCCGCTCGGATAGCTCTCGAGAACCACGGTAGCCCATGAAAGGGTAGTGTCTTAGTACCTTGGTCAGTAGGAGCCCTGGCTTCCCTGCGAAGGAGGAGGAGGGTATAAATCATGAACAGGAACCCCAACAGCCTACCAGCTCCTCTGGAGGTTTCCAAGACAGTGGACTTCAACAAGCACCATAAAGACAAACTCTGGGGACCAGGGAGATAGCTTGGCAGTCTAAACACCTGCCTGGAAAGCACAAGGACCCAGGTTTGATCCCTGGTACCACATGCCATGCCAGCCCTGGAACTGGGCATTGTGGTGCATGCCTATAATCCCATTGCTGGATTATTATACACAGCCACAGCCAAGGGGGCTGAGACAGAAGGGTCATTAGAGCTTGAGCTGCACAGACTCTGTAGCACATGAGTAAATAAAAGATGTTTTTAAAAACATTTAAAGCACCAGGGGTATAGTTCAGCACATAAGCACCTGCCTGGCAAGTGCAAGGTCCTGAGTTCAATCCCTGGTACTGCAAAAAATAAATAAATAAATGAAAATGAAAACGACAGACTCTGGAACACCAGGACAGAGAGAACCTGAAAGACAGGGATACGGAGACACAGAAAACCAGAGACAGAAAGGAGAAAGTAGGGTTAGGTAGCCCATGAGAAACGGGAAAAGGGCCCTAAGGCATGGGCAAGGGGCAAACGGTGGCTGGAAGAAAGACAGGCCAGGCCCAGAGTCCCAGGAGAGAAGGGACTGATGCTGATGAAAGCGCGACCCCTCAGCTCGGGAGAACTCAGAGACCCTGGAGACCTGCAGACCAGAACAGGAGACTGGGGCGGGGCTGCAGGGCCAGGAGGCCAAGAGCTGAGCCCAAGTGGAGGGCAACCAGGCAGGGATCCAGGGTCCCAATCAGGGGTGCGCCCCATGGGCTCTGGACTCCAGCTTTGGAGCAGCATGTTCCAGCCCGAAGAAGGTTGAGGGCACCCGCCCCTCTTACACCCAGAGAAAGTTCCTTGGCTCCCATACCTTGCTCCACAGGGACACATAAGCCACGCTCATCTCTCACAGGCTCTGCCGCCTCCATGTCAAACTGCACAAGCTCAAAGGGAAACAGCACCTGGGTGGGAGGGGGAGCGCTGGCAGAGGACCCATGGGCACAGCCACAGCCAGGGCCACTGACACACTGGGCACCCCACCCACTCACCCGTAGGAACGAGCTCATCTTGCCCACAGCCCCACAGCGCCCTGGATAGTTGACTAAGCCCAAGTTGCCCTCTGTGGAACCATAGAATTCCCAGATCTGAATGGGACCAAAGTGCTTCTGGAAGGTTTCCCATACGTCTTTTCGGAGGCCGTTGCCCATTGCCAAGCGGACTTTGTGTGCCCTGTCTTCTGGCTTCTGTAAGAACATCGCAAGAAAGAGAGGAGGAGGACCCCTTGGGGATGCTGAGCCCCCTTACCTGGGGCTATCTCAGAGTCTTTGGAGTGACCCATCCGATGAAGGAGAACCAGATCTAGGGGCCCTACCGGAGAACTGTGGTATAGTTACTGGAGTCTTGACCTGGAGGATAACTTCCTAGGTTACCGAGAGCTTTACCTGCAGAAAGTTAACTGGGGCCTTATCTTAAGGGTTACCTAGGAGACCTGATGCATCAGGGATCTTACTTGGGAGTAAAAGAGCTGCTGGGGGCTTTTACCTGGAGGTCCCCTGGGAGTGCAGGAGGGCAGTGACTTGAAGCCTCTGCTTGAGGATTATGTCAGAGTCTTACTTTGGGCAAGTTATATGGAGCCTTCTCCTGAGGGGTTACCTCAAAGCTTTACCTGGAGTGATAGCTGCGGACTTTGTCCAAGGATCCTATCTCACAGGTCTGGAAGAATGAAATTGCTCACAACTAGTCAGTCTACCCTGAGCCACATCCCCTATATTTCACCTATTATTTTCACAAAAATGGGGGTCATTTTTTATACTGGGGATTAAAACGGGCTTTTTGGCTGGGGAGATGGCTCAGTGGAATAAGCAATTCCCTGGCAAGTGCAAGAGCCTGAGTTCAATCCCCGGTTCCGCCAAAAAAAAAAATAAAATGGGTACATTTAAAACAAAAAAAAAAAAAAAAAATAGGGCTTTTACAATGAGCTACATCCCCAGCCCATTTCTATTTTGAGACAAGGTCCCACCAAGTTGCTAAATTGCCAGACTGGACTCAAACTTGCAATCCTGCCTCAAAGTGCTGGTGTGACAGGCATGCCAGGCCAGGTGGGAGCTACTCTTATCAAAGGAGCACTCTGAGGCTGCAAAGAGTAAAGTCACCTGCTCAGGGTAGCAAGATTCCTAATCAAAGCAGCCCTTTAAGGGGCCAGGGAGATGGCTCAGTAGAATAAGCACTTCCTTGGCAAGTGCAAGGGCCTGAGTTCAATCCCTGGTTCCCCTCCCCAAGAAAAAGCAGCCCTTTAAGGGAACTTTCCTGGAACTTGTTATCTGGGGCTTTTGATTGAGTCCCCACTGGCTAGGCACAAAGCTGTCACTAAACCACACCCCCGTATTTGTAACCCCATACCTGAGCTTTTTATCTGAGAACCCAGCCCAGGGTGTCCTCTGTGTTTTCATGCCTTCAGTGTTCATCATGAAGCCCTAACTTCAGCGCCTCACCTGGGGAGCATTGCACAGGTATCGCAGAACCTCGCCCACGTACTGGATCACAGTCACGCCGTGCTGCCGACAGTCGTCCCAGAAGCAGGAGACAGAAAACTTGGGTGCTAGGACACAGGTGGCTCCTGGGAGTGAAAGGAGTAGAACTCAAGCATGCTTCCTAGTTGCTGTGGGAAGCCACCTTGATTGCCTAATTATAACGTCTGGGGACACAGGACGCTGTCAAGTTCATCTGTATCTCCCAGCCATAACTGCCCCTAAGAGTACATGGGGCCAGGCCAGGCCCGTCCTCCCAGCACTCAAAGGCTGAGGCAGGAAGATGAAAGTTCAAGGCCAGCCTGGGCTACACAGTAAGTTCAAGGCTAGTCTGAAATGCATAGTGAAACTCTGTCTCAAAAAGAAAAAGAAAAAGAAAAAAAAGTGGACAATACACAGGAAATAAAAGTAGCAACACATTAACAATTTTTGAAGCTAGGTAAGGGTACACAAAATACCAATAAGCTACTAGTACTTTTGAAAGAGAAAAACTGTACAAGAGAAATTGTTCTTTTATAAAACTTTGTTCTTGAGACTGGGTGTGGTGGCACACCTGTAATCCCAGCTCTTGGGAGGCTGTAACTGGGCACATCACTAGAGTCCAATCTTGTAGTGAGGCCCTGAACACCCTGTAGACCCTTCCCTAAAATACAGAAAAACAAAAACAAAAAAGCAACAAAAAAAAACCCTTTGTTCTTTTGAAACTGCCTAGCTCTGTAAATGCTTTATAGGGCAGTAATTACTTTCTTGGCCCCTGTAACAAGGAGAGTGCAACGAACATGCAGGAGGTTTGTGCCATTGCACCACGCTTCATCAACGGGCGACTACAGAGAGTTGGGCAAATGGTGAAAGTCAATAGAGAAAGTACTTTGTGTTCACTTAATTATGCACCTTCCTTAGCCTGCCTTGAGCCCTCAGTAAATGTGAGATGCCTCTGAGGCTCGGGGCTCACTGGGAGAGAGACTGATCTTAGGGAGACCTCCGAAGCTATATTCATCACGTTTTCTTGACCGCGTGGGAAACGTACGCCCAGAGCAGGCGAGACCATCGGGAAAAGCTCAGAGTAATGGGGAACTCCACCTCAGTAGAGAATGAGTATGTCCATCTTATTCGGATGTTACTCAAAGGAGCAGGTGTAAAGGTGAAGTCAAAGAGTTTCCAGGAATTATTTTCCCTTATAAAAAGGCATTGTAGGGGCCAGGGAGATGGCTCAATAGAATAAGTGCTTATTTGGCAAGTGCAAGGGTTTAAGTTCAATGCCCGGTTCCCCAAAAAAAAAAAAAAAAAAAAAAGGCATTGTTACTGGTTTCAGTGTAAGAGAAAGGCTGATTTAAATTTAAAAGTTTGGAAACCAGTTATGAGAACACTACGTCATGCTCACCAAAATGGGGCACCAATTCCTCTTCATGTGTGGGCTCTTCGTAGTATAATTCCCTTAGCTTTGGAGCCATTGCAATCTGACTCAGCAGAGTCTAAGAAATGTTTGAAAAGGTCGCCTCAGATGTTGACACTGCTAAACCTCAAGAGCAGCTTCCACGCAAATATGAATCTACACAAGAGACCTTTTTAAGACCTCTGCCTTCCTCACTTTCAAATACAGAGGCTAGCATAGCAAAAAGGACCAAAATAATGCAGGGGGCCTCTGTGATACATAATTATGGTAAGGCTGCACCCCCTCAAGACTCCCTACATGAAGGCCCTCCCCGGAATACTGAGTGTTGGTTCTTTAAATTTCTCAATGCTCTGTAATGGGGATGACTCTGACAAACTGGGTTCTAAAAGGACATTTTTGGCATTACAAACCAACTCCTCAGAGTCTAAGAATTTGGAGGATATAGAACAAAAGGAAACTATGAATGAGGTACTTGAGGTGCAAGCCAAGGCAAGGCAGTTATCACAATTGCTTTCTTTCTTTTTTTTTTTTAATGAATTTAGGACAGGGTGTACAGGGTCTCACTGCATAGATTGGATCACAGTGATTCTCCTGTTTTCAGCTTCCCAAGTGCTGAGATTACAGGCACGCACCACGCCCAGTCTCAATTGCGGTCTCAACTGCGGTCTCAGTAGGCCCCGGGGGCAGGACCAGGGCTGGCACAAAACGCTGGGAATCGAATCATGGGCCGCTGTGCTCTGCCTGCTTAAGCAGGCCCTTTAGTTCCCTGAGCTATCTAGCTGGCCCCACAATTGCTTTCTAAATTGATTGAAAAGATGAAGGTGTCTAGCCCTGTACTTTCTCCATCTCGGTTCACAAAAAATCAGCCCCTACCACCATCTTTTAACCCTTCTGCTCCTCCATATGAGAAAAAGGAAGGCCCCATAAAAGTGTACAGAAGTGTGATAGCTCAGGCTCATCTGCAAGGGAGGCAGCAGCGAGACCCTGAGGCTTATCCTGCCCCTTTGGGTATTTTCCTGTGGTGGTCCAACACCACCCCCCAAATGCTCAATTTCCCCAGGGCTATGTGCAGTGGGAACCCCAACCTCTGGCATTCAAGGGTACTGAAGATTTGAAGCAGGCTGTCATGGCCTATGGTATGCAATCGACCTATGTGATTGCGTTAATACAAGGATTAGCAAATGAACAGAGATTAATTCCTCATGATTGGGAAGTTTTGTGCCACACGATTTTAGAGCCAAGCCAATATTTGCAGTTTAGAACTTGGTGGAAAGATGAAGCAGATATTTCAGAGAGGGCTAACAGGGGACAGAATCCCCCAGTTCACGCTGAATCAGGTCAGCTCACGGGGTCAGGGCCGGGCTGGGTGTCCAGCCCAGCTGCAATATGATGAGGTGGCTGTTGCGCACACTCGCACTTGTTGCTTTCATGGGAAAGGGTGGCAAGGCCAGGGGACACTCGAACATCACTTGCTAAGGTTCTCCAATCTAATAAGGAGCCATATGTGGATTTTGTCCCCCGATTAAGGGAGGCTATACACAAAACAGTGAGAGCACCAGACTTGAGGGAGTTATTCCAAACTTTGGCTTTTTTTTTTTTTTTTTTTTTTTTGCAGTAACGGGGATTGAACTCAGGACCCTGCCCTTGCCAGCCAAGCACTTATTCTACTGAGGTAACTCTCCCGGGTCCCTAAACTTTGGCTTTGTCAGAAGGCTCTGCGCCCCTTCAAGGCACAGGCTACATCACTGGAAGAATATATTGAGGCCTGCACTGATATTGGCTCAGAGCCATACAAAGCTAATT